CTTTCATACATTCAGAAACCCTCAGCATTTGTGTAAATAATTGCACTGTTCAAGTAAAACACTTTTTTTCTGCCACCCATAAATCTCTTATGTGTGTTAAATATTTAGAATAAAAAAATTGCAGTACATGCAAATGGTTTGGAAAAAAAGCCATTTATCTATCTATTAGGAACTAACGAGGTTGAATCAGGTCCACTCAACAGGTTCTTCTTTGTTGATCTATTTAATCTTTTGTCCAAAAGACTTCTTCAGCCTGAGGAGCTGCAGCACTGCCACTCAGTTATCTGTTTTATGGGCCAATTTATTAGGTACATTTGCTCCTCAGACTGAAGAAAGCTTTTGGATGAAAGACGAAATGTTTAACAAGAAGAAGCCGTCCAAAGGAACTGACTCAACCTTGATCGATTTATCTACCTGGATTTTGTCACATGCATCAGAATATCTATTAGGACATTTTTGCCCTGATATTTGTTTGTTTTTTTTTAAACATCTGTTTTTATCTAGATAGTGTGGATCATGTACGGGCCTGCTGCTTGGATGTATACTATACTGGTGTTATTCCTCCTTTACTCATGTACTTCTCCACTTGAGACATATAAATATTGTTATTTTATATAATTGTCTGAATGCTTCATAGCATTCAGACAATTGAGATCTTTTTTTTCTTCCGTACGTTTTTCGGCATCTAACTTGTTCCACAATTTTTGTGCTATTTCAACAATTCACATATCAAAACGTTCAGCTCATTCATGTGAAGGGTGCTATGACTTTGGGTATTTCAGCTTTTTACACCTTTTTTTTAGCTATTTCACTTTTTTAGCCACTTTTCTGCCATTGAAAATGAATAGAGCTGTTTTCAACATCCTTAAATTCCTTTAAAACGTTTCTAAATCTTTACATAACCTTACATTTTTGATCTGGTTATGCTCTTTTTCACATTCTTGTGCTAATTTTAGCTATGTGTTTGCTATTTCAGCTAAAATTCTGCTTCTTTCTGCTATTCTTTTGCTTTTTTGTACTTTTTCTGCTAATTTCTGCTGTTTATGCTTCTTACAGATGCTTTCTGCTATATTCAGCTATTTGCTGAAATTTTATCTAAAGTTTAGCTGCTATTAGCTAAAGTTAGCTTTTATAAGCTAAATACAATTGTTTGTAGCTATTAAAACTTTTTCTGAAAACTTCAGCAAACTTGTGCTCTTTATGCTTCCTTATGCTAATTTAAATTCCAGCGACGTTTTAGTTGCTTTACTGAAAATTCAGCTGTTTTAGCCATTTTACTACTAATTATCACTTTTTTGTACTCACATGCAAATCTTCTGCTAGTTTTACAATTTTTACAACACTTTCTCTATCTGGTGCTAATTTCAACTTGTGTCTGCTACATTTAGCCTATTCTATGCTAATTTAGCTTATTTATGCTACTTTAGCTATAGAACTGCTTCTTTCTGCTATTCTTTTGCTTTATTTTACTTTTTATGCCTTTTTCTGCTACCTAACGCTATTTATGCTTCTTGCAGATGTTTTCAGCTATATTTAGCTATTTTAGCTCGTAGCATTGAGCAGTTCTCTGTTTCAACTAGATATGTGCTCCTATTTACTGTTTTTCTGCAAAGTTAGTCTTTTTTTTTCAGCTTTTCTAAGTGTGCTCACGATAACACTTTTATGATTAAATATTTCCAGCTCAATTTCAGCAGCTTTCAGTTTCAGTTTTCAGCATGAAGCATTCACACTAGCATTTTCGCAGGAAATGCAATTTCTCTAGTTATATTACATGTTAAAGAATATTAACACACAATATTATGTTATGAGTAAATATTAACCATTATTATGAAATCCAATTCTCATGTTTACCTTCCAGGTGAAAAGACACAAGTCTCTTTCTTTATTTCTGACAGCTGACTTTGTTTTGTACAGCTACCCTTACCCCCATCAACACATGTTCCTATATACAAACTTGTTTGCACATTCCCTTTACCTGTGGGCATCCAGTGTTGGTGTACGAACAGTACAGGTCACACCGCACAGAAAGGTTGGAAAAACAGTGGCATAACAGGCACGGCTCTGCCCTCCATCTTTCTCCAACCACATGGAACTGACCTTGATACTCACACTCATCACATGGAGCTGTTTGACACCTGCAGGAACACACACACAAGCATAAAATTTCATTCATGGCTGATGAAACCTCTGATAAATGCTCACTTTGACACAAAGGAGTCGTTGAATGAACGTGGTTGCCAAGGACAGTGTCCGTCTTCACTTGACTTCACTTTAATGGCTGTAAAGGCTACAATAGCTGCTTATGACTCCAGAACAGACGGGTGAAGATGGTGTCTTCAGTCAACCAACCAGGATGCATTTAGTCAACTTACATTCTCAGTTTTATTCTAAATGTGTTTTCCAGAGGCATTACATTAAGAAATACTAGAATATTTCAAACATATCTCCCAAAATTAAAAACTTTAATAACAGAAAATTTTACAATGGAAATTACATATATTGACCATAATAAACAAACAATAAAAGCATAAACCATCCAAATGAATACTTTTCTGACTAACTGAATATTAGAATACTTTAATTTTAACATGATGACATGATCATTACCGGCGTGCTTTTCTGTAAATTCCTCTACAGGCTCTCCCGTCTCCATTGTTGGTGGGATTATTTGGGCTGCGAAATGACCACTGTACACTCTGAACACCACAAGGTCCCAAACACTCTCCCCATGCTGACCATGATGACCAGCCACAGTGCACTGAAAGGGTGTTGGGTGTTTATTTAAGCTCGTTGCAGAACATATTTAACACTTCAGAGTAAAATGGATCTTACCTGAGCAGTCCGGGTTGGGCTGACATCTCTGAGGTTTTCCTCTCTCGCAAACACAAATCTTACAATCCAGTTTTATTTGCTGGCCTGGCCAGTACTCTACACCTGCCACCTCACACAGACACTCTTCTGGTAGCACACATTGCTGCGTGGAGCTCATCACCCAACCTTTAGGACACCAGCAACCTAAAAGGAAACAAAACTGTCCAAAAATGACTTGAAAACAGCATATGTTAACTCTGTAATTCTGTTTTGTAAACCCGTGGCTGACCAGAGAAGCAGGGTGCTGTGGGGTCACAGCTTGTCCCACTGCTTATGTGAGCACAAGACATGGGGCAAGAAGCACAAGCGTGTCTCTCCAGGCCAGGGGGACAGCTGGTATTTGCACACCCATCATCAGGACATGGTTCTGTAAAAGTCAAAGAAGTCAGGAAAGTTTTGGCTTTTTTTTTTTCTTTTTTTCATTTTATTTATTTATCAACAACAGCCAGAAACACTGCTGGCTTCTCTGGACATGAGCTCATCTGAGATGGACTGATACAAAGTGAAAATATGTCCTGTGGTCTGATGAGTCCACATTTCAAACTGTTTTTGTCAATCATGGACGCTATGTCCTTCAGACCAAAGAGGGAAATGACTGTCCGGACTGTTATAAGCGCAAAGCTCAAAAGCCAGCCTCTCTGATGGTATAGGGGTGTATTAGTGCCCATAGCATGGCTAACTTTCACATCTGTGAAGGCACCATTAATGCTGAAAGCTACATACAGGTTTTAGAGCAACACATGCTGCCATCCAAGCCACGTTTTTTTCAGGAATTTCTCTGCTTATTTCAGCAAGACAATGCCAAACCACGTTCTGCACGTGTTCCATCATGGCTTCCAGAGTTGTAAAGTAACTAAGTACAAATATTTTGTTACTGTACTTAAGTGGAAATTTTGGTTATCTGTACTTTACTTGAGTAATAATTTTTAGCCTACATTTTACTTCTACTCCTTACATTTTTACACAAATATTTGTATTTTCTGCTCCTTACTTTTTTTTTAAAAAAAGTAAAAAGTAGAAAGCCATTACTCCTATTTCATTCCAACTTGTTATTTCAAAAAATAAATAAATACAAGCCTGCACACTTTTAGAAGAAATGTTTTTTTTTTTTTTTTTTTTTTTGGAGAGGTCACCTCCCAGTAAATGTCATTTGGGAAAATCTAACTGCCAGTTTTTAATTAATAATTTTACTTTTAATTCTTAAGTACATTTCATGTCAAAAATTTACTTTTGATAATTAAGTGCAAAGAAAATCTGATACTTTAAGACTTTTACTCAAGTAATATTCGTAGAGGGTACTTTAACTTTTACCAAAGTAATTTCAAGATAAGATACTTGTACTTTTACTCAAGTATCCCTTTGAGGTACTTTATACAACACAGATGGCTTCATAGTAAGAGTGTGGGTACTAGACTGGCCTGCCTGTAGTCCGGGCCTGACTACGTGTGGAGCATAGGATTTGCAAATCATCATATTCTGTTTATTTAGTTTTACACAACATCCCAACTTCACTGGAATTGAGTTTGTAGTAAAAAAAATATTTGTTCTATTGTTCTAATTGATTTTTCCCCCACACTTGCCAGTAAAGTGCAGTGTAGGCAATCATTGAACCATGACTGAAATAAAATAAGAAGTAACAGGAGTAGGGTCACATGGACAAAATCAGTCAATTCTGTGAGCTGTCACACTTGATACAGAGCTTATAGTTTACATTATTATTATTATTTGAAGTAATGAAGTGAACATTTCCTGGCACAGTTTGAGTGATGTAAGACATGGACATTTTTATACTGATAACAAATCATATTGTTTAATTGAATGACCCAAAATAAGTCTTCAAAGGGAGAAAGTACTGAGTATTTGTCCAGAACACCACAGTTTTGTAGAACTCTAACATGCAGGAATAGCTTATATCAGCACGTTGAACAGTTTGTAGATAGAGCTTACTGATTTCCATGGAGAGGTTAGACGGTCCGCTGAGTTGGGTACAGTGTCGGCCTCCAAACCGAGGAGGAGCACATTCTCTAAGTCTCACCTGCACTCCTCCACAGCCCCCAGAGCAGTTTGACCACTTTCCCCATGGCAGCCACTGACCATCCACTGGAGAGGAGATTAAAGATATTTTAGCAATAAGAACATTTTAAAAATGAAATAGCTGAACTGTCTGTGATATAATCACCCATCTAGCTGTTGCTGTACTGTATTGTATATTGTTCACTGTAGAAACAAGAATATTCTACATGTGTTCATTTGTTTACCAGGACAAGTGGTGTTAAAGCACTGCTGCCTCTGTGTGTCTTGGCCCCAACAGTGGTGCAGTGGATCCCCCGGAGGGCAGGATCTCTCCCGGATCATGGAACCTGTCCCACAGGTGGTACTGCAGGGGCTCCAGGGACCCCAAGGGCTCCATGTTCTACAATCCCGCTCATCCGTTGGACCTCTAAAGGGTGTTAGTGAGGAGTCTGGACAGTCTTCCATGCCATTACAAACCTAATAAAGGAACAGGATTTATGGGGATTTATGTGAAGCTATTAGATGTGTTTAAGAATTTTTTTTAGAAAATGTATAATGTATCAATGTATCAAGGACTGTTGTCCAATTCACAGAGCATGGATCCCACCTCCTGCACCTAGGTTCACAGGACGGTGGTCCTACGTAGCTCATTCAGGCTCTGTTGGGTCGGACCCTGTGGGTAAAGGCCCCACCACCATATGCTCACCAACAAGCTTCTCCACCAGACCTGACTCAATTTCTAGTCTTGGTGAGCCGTTGTGGTCCCTCAACCTTGTAATGATTGTTGAGCATGTTTTCTGGACCCTCACCCAGAACATTTTATCTCCATTAGGGGCAAGCTGTCCCTAACAACATAGCTTTGAGTGCTAAGTTCACCTGGCACCACTTTCTGTTTTTGAAACTTAACTGAACTTTTGCTGAATCAAGTGGCAGAAGATGGATTAACAAATAGGCAGATGTATTAATGATCTTCAAAGGATTAAAAGTACTGTCAGGGTGAGTAAAATGAGCACTTTATGACCCACTGGGTGTTCTAGATGTATGGGTTAATTCAAATTTTAAGGCTTAACTTCTTGAGTCAAAGATTAAGCAGCGATTTTATACAAATGAAATCCCACTAATTTAAAAAAAAAGAGAGAACATTTTTTCTTACTAATGCAAACAACTACTACTAGTGAAACACAGCTTGCTGGTGGTGGACAGAACATTGATTAGAGACCCACCATGTTAAACAGTACACAGGTTCCATCCATGCAGGTAAACTCAGAACAGGTGGTGTTCCTACTCCCAGGGAGAACTGGAGCAATGGTTTTATCTGAAAGCAAGAACATTTACACAACTTTCATAAATATTGAAAAAAAGCACAATGATTCGCATTAATTTTCCTCTTCCTATAGAGTTTCCCCATCTCCATGTTTTTCTTCTTATTTACATTATCTTCCTGTTCAGGACCAGCCGTTCCCTACTAAGTCGCTTTACTGAATCCGTCCCTCACGTCTACTGTTCTCCTCACCACTCACCACACAACAACTCATCTTCACCACGTGGACAGTCTGGGTTGCCGTTGCAGACTTTTAATGTGTTCACACAAGTGCGGTTGTCGCATGGGAAGCTCCCAGGACAGGAAGGAATCTGAGTAGAGCCTAGAACATATAAAGATTTGTCAGTGTTTATTAGCGTAAAAATATCTGAAAACAATACACTCCGGTATTTCCTGGGTATGTACCTGGTATACGCCTGGTACACACACATCGTGTCTGGTATACCTGGGATGTACCTGTTATTTAAAGGGTACTCCCTTGATACACACTTACTAAGTTGTGTGGTTTTGGCATGGAGGTATATATAACAGCAGTGTTGTATAAAGTAGCTCAAATTGATACTTAAGTAAAAGTACAAATATCTCACCATACAATTACTTTGGTAAAAGTTAAAATCTTTACAAAGAATATGAGTAAAAGTATCTGACATTTATTGTACTAAAGTATCAAAAGTAAATTTTACATCAATCAATCAATAACCTTTATTTAACCAGGTAGAAAACCCATTGAGATCAGGATCTCTTTTACAAGGGTGACCTGGTCAAGAGGTCTGCATGACACGTCACAGAGTGTGTCAGAGTTAAGACTTACATTGTGCTTAAAGTACAACAATTCAAAATACAAGTTGTTACAAAAACAGGTGAAGACATTCAGTCATTTGGTTGTACAGACCAAAGTAATTCCCAAATTACGTCCTAATGATGTTCACTTCTTAAAAGTGAATAGTGTGACATTAATCAATCTAACACTTTTGATTACATAATCAAACAAAATAGCAAAAACTCAAAAATAAGAAGTCAGATGAAAGATCAACAATAAATTAAAGCATACAAGTAGTGACTAGAAAACATCTGCACAGATCAAACTTCTTTTTAATGTTCTCAGTGAGGATCGACAAGAAGGATCTGAGAGAGATGTGTTGACAGTTTTAGATCTGTCTGTACATTGTTCCAGGCTGAGGGGGCAGCAAAGCTGAACACTTTTTTCCCTAGTCTAGTTGTGACAGGAGGAGCTGACAGGAAGACTCAATCATTGGAGCGCAGGGAATATTGACTGTGTGATCAAAAAGAAAAAAATTGTATAGGTCTTCTGGACGGGTTCTTCTCTAATGAAACGTTTCGTCTCTCCTCCAAGAGACTTCTTCAGTCTGA